GTGGCCTGTCTCATCTCATGCCAGTAGACAGAGCTTTTGTAGGGCAGGGTCTAGAACTGGTGCATTTTTGCCTCCCCCACAGCAACCTGCCACACACTGACTCTGGCACACAGTAAATATTTAATTACATGAAGGAAGGGAAGATTTCCGAGCAGGGGTTAGGGGAGTGGCCTGGTTAAAGCCTGGCTTTAGGAAGATAAATCTTGCAGGCTGAGCAGAGTGGACAGGAAGCAGAGGGGAACAGAGGATGTGGGAGGGTCAGAGGGGTGGAGACGGAAGGGCCATCTTAAGGCAGCCAAGAGGCAGTCCCTTAGGGTGGATGCTCTGAGCTCACCTGACCTGGAGGGCAGCAGAGACAGGGACAGAGCAGGAAGAGGGGAGTGGGGAGCCGGTCCTGGAGAGAAGGCGGAGAGCTCTGTTTTAGACACTTCCTTTTGAAGGTGCCTGGAGAAGCACCCTACAGCCAAATAGGAGGGAAAAAAAGAGCCATAGAAAATGGGGGCTGGCAGGTTAATTGCTCCTTGTACGAATGGAACCTCAAGGCCCAGAGAGGGGCATGAACTTACACAAGGTCACACAGTGAGTTAGAGACTGTTAAAACAGCAGGACTGGAACCCTGGTGTGTCGACTTCCTGGGAGTTGGGGGATGGGTTAGTATGCTGATGCTGCCTTTCTCCCCAGTTTCTCAGGCCCCTTTAGCTCCCTCACTACCAGATCAGGGGCCCATTTTATCTGGTCTTCCTCCTTGGTGGGGTTGCAGTTATCAGGAGACACAGAGGGACTCACCCAACCATCACACCCCTCAGTAGGCCAGCCTCATCACCTGATACAAGAGAGGCCTGTGTCTCTGAAAATCAGGGGTGGGGCAGGTCAGGCCTTCTCAAAAATGTCTCAACCCCCAAATGAGCAATCATCCAGCAGATATGAGGTCCTGACTGCCCATTTTGCACAAGAGTTTGCTCATGTCTATCAGGAGTTAACTTATCTCAGAGGGGTTAAGTCACTTGCCCAAGACCACACAGCTAGTTAGAGACTAAGCCAGAATTCGAATTTGTTCTAAACTCCAAATGCAGGGTTTTAAATACTAAACCCCATCATACTGATAAACACCTGATTCAGTAGGTGTCTCTCTGCCCATACTGTCTCTACTTTGGGTGCTGGAGAGATGGAAGAAACAACAGAAAAATATACTGAGTGTGTTACTTATGTCCTGGACACTGGACTAAGTACTTTATATTTTATATTATATCATTTAATTGCAAGAATTGCCCTAACTTTCAGTGATACAAAAACAGAGGCTCAGAGAGGTTAAGCAGCTTGCCCAAAGTCATTCTGGAGAGTCAAGTCAGATTCTGAAGCCAGGTCTACATGTCTCTGATTCACTTCCAAGGGGACAACCTTTGTAGCAGGCCCCTGGCTCCTGGAATCCAAAGCTGCATTCCACTGCCCTGGACTCCCCATCCCCTTTAGGAGGCTGAGGGAGCTTGCCTTCTGCTTATCAGAAGCAACTGGGCAGGGCTGCCTAGGAGCCTGGCTATCTGAATTTTGCCCTGAGGAGCCTGGGAGAGGTGGGCAGGGTAAGAGTAAATGGGGAGGCCTCACTACAGCAGTTCCATTTCGACCTGTTTTTTTATTTTAGGGTTCAGAGGCAGATTTGAGAAATGGGTGACAGTGCTAAAAAAATTTAAAAGTTTAATCCCTAACATTTTAATGTGGAAAATGGGGTGCAGAGAGATGACAGGACTTGAGATCACACAGTGAATGGAGTAGAGTCAGTAGAGTGACCCTGCAGCTCTTAGCTTCTAATCCAGTGTCCTGTTACCTATACCACACAGAGTCACTCCGTTACAACAGGTGCTTTATAAAGATCTTAGTGCCCCTGGGTGTCATCTCTGTTTCACAGAACCAAACACAGGCTGGGGTTTTGCTTTGTGAAAAGTCCCTCAAAGTTTGGGAGATGTTCATACACTGGGAGGGCACTTCTCCCAAATCAAGGGAGCTTAAATTCTGTGACACCACACTGAAGATAGGAGTAAGCCAGCCACATTGGTACAGGTCAGCTTTCTGGGAAGGCTGTATAGAGCGGTGCACAGAGAACCATGTTTCAGGGTTAAACAGTCCCAGGTCTGGTCTGTGCTCTGCTGTGTAACTTTGAGCAAGGTCCCTGGCCTTTAAGTCTTCATTTCATAATCTATAAAATGGGTATGATATTACCAAACTTGCAAGGCAGTGGAGAAAATTAGAGATAGTGATGAGGGTTAGGGCACAGTGTTGTAACACCAAGGTCAAGGGTTAAGATCCTCATACCAGCCAGCTGCCAAAAAACCACCACCACCAAAAACAACAAAAAGAGATAGTGCTGAGGTACGTGTCTGACACCAAGTAACCACACAGTAAATGTGTAGCTAATTTTATTACCAGGAGTAGGGCTGAGCTGGAACTAGATCTCCTGGCATGCTGCCAAAAAACCACCACCACCAAAAACAACAAAAAGAGATAGTGCTGAGGTACGTGTCTGGCACCAAGTAACCACACAGTAAATGTGTAGCTAATTTTATTACCAGGAGTAGGGCTGAGCTGGAACTAGATCTCCTGGCACGGCGCTGCGCCTTCTGCACCACACCCAGTAGGGAGGACATTTACTTAAACTCCTGAGGGCCACAGGGTTTTTCAAGATGTCTAAGGTGGGGTCCCTGCCTTCCATCAGCTTATGTGGTAGAGGAGAAATAAAACAATGCCACACCAATGCCTGAGTAGAGGGGTAGTCCAGGTGCTGTGGGAGGGACCTGTGTCTCTGGGAGTCTGGAGTAGAGGACATTGAAGCATGAATTAGTTTTTCAGATTCATCGTGAAGGTGTGATTCCTTAGGAGCCAACATCCCCAACCTGGGAGTAACCTAAGTTGAGCCCTGAGAGCTGCCACCAGGAGGTGCTGAGAAAAAGCTGCAGGGCCTGTGCCCCCCATATGCTCTGCTGAGGATTCCAGAGGTTTTGGTTTGCGTACAGAGGGCTGTGAGCTGCCGCCAGCTCTAGCAGGCTCTGCCACTGGCTAGGTAGGCCGTGCCACTGCCACAGTCAGGAGGGCCAAGTAGGTAGAAGGTGGCCAGGACTAAAAAATCCAAAGCTGTAGAAGGGCCCAGGACAGCAGCTGTCCAGCAGTTCTGAAAAGGGACTGACTGGATATGCATTTACTGAATTATCTACTCTGGGCCTGCCCCAGTGCTAGATACAGGGATTAAAGAAAAGAATGAGACCTCAGCGTTGTCCTAGGGCTCTGAAGAGCCTATTCTCCTCAGGGAGATAGAAGGAGAAGCTGCCTTTTCCATAGCCTCCTAAAATATCCAGGCTGAGAGGCTTCTTAAAGCTTGCTGATTACATCCCTAAACAATGGTGAAACTGGGCTCAGAGAATGGCAGACACCGGCCCAGGATCACACAGCAGGTCAGTATCAGATCTGGGGCTTGAATCCAGGTCTCCAGCAGCCCAATCCTCAGTGACCACCATCACCCCTTGATACTTTTAAAAACAGATTTCAAATCTGCTTACCGGCAGAGATGGGCTGTGGAGAGCTGTGGGTGAAGGGGTTGGGGAGGGGGAGGTAGAACCGCACCTGGCTGCTGCTGGTAGTAGATGGTTAAGTATGTGGGCTCTTGCAGTCTGATAAACGGGGTTACAAATCCTGGTTCTGTCACTTTCCAGCTGTGTGGCCTCGGTTTCCTTATCTGGTAAATGGGGACTTGAACCAACCTCAACGGGTTGTTGTCTGGACTGAATGGGCCAGTGCATGCAACGCCCAGCACAAAGCGGCTGCTATTGTTTGCACTCCCCCCATTCTGCGCGGCACCTCGGGCTCTGCATTGACGGAGGCTGCCTCGGCGGTCTCCGAGAGCGTGCACCCCAGAGAGGAGGTGCAGGGCCCGGGACCCCAACTGAAGCAGGACTGTCTACCTCAAGCAAGGGCTCCACCGCCAGCGCTTCAGGCGCACAGCACAATCTGGGAACGACGGACTTCTTGTGCCACAGGCCCCGCCTCGCCGTGGAGCCGCCGCCAAGCCCGCCATCTCCTCGAGTCAGGTCCCCGCTCACCTACCTCGCTAAGGTCTCCGAGCGGCTGCTCCTGACACCGCTGTCTCTTGCTCTACACCCTCGGGGCCCACGTGGGGGCGGGGCGGCTCGCCCGGAAGC